CTTGCATAAACAAATATCTTGAGGTTTGCAATGATTACTTGGTATATCCACCATAGAACCATTAACTAAAACTGTCAGTTCCGCATATTATTGTTGCTTCTATTTTGTTGATTTTCCAACATTTATGAATATTTCTTAAACTAACCTAACTATTAATCTCTCTCACATTGACATGTTTTTTCTAATCTCATTAGTAAAAGTCTGTCTCATTTCAACTTATTTTCAGAAATTTTTTTTTTTTTTTACTCAGTTTTGCATTTGTAGCAAATTGAGAGGTAGATAGTCTTCTTAACAAGTGGGATTGTATAATACTAATTTCGAACTTAGCTTTGTAGAATGTGGTTTTTGCGAGTTCAAGCCAACTTTGGTGGCAAATAAAGAAATCAAAATTATATTTTGGAATATAATTTCTAGTAAATAGTGAAATGTTTTCATGACTCAATCAGCTTAGTATCTCTTTGTAATTTTGTTCTATTGGTTGATTGATTATTTCAAATTATGGATTTTAATAAGTACTTTCCTATTTATAAGTATCCAAGGTCCTGTAGCTCAGTTGGTTAGAGCGTTGGTCTTATGAGCCGAAGGTCGCGGGTTCGAGCCCCGCCGGGACCAAATAAGCAGCAATGCATCCAGTTATTGTTTAACACATTACTGAATCTAAGTTCTAATCCTGTTTGTGTAACACTGCCTTTAGAATCATTGTCAAAGTTTTTCTTTCCACTATCTTAGAAATGATTTTGACTAAACATAACATGTTTCAATTAGATAGCAAGTGTTCTTCAAGTTTTCAAAAAAAAGAAAACATCAAAGTTCTCTACTTGTGGTCCTGTAGGAAAGCTTTGAAGGAGCAGTTGGGTTTCTTCAAGAACCCTTCTATGTCATCCAAAGCTCTTTACCTAACATCGGTGTTTCATATTCCAGTTTTATATAATATAACCAACAGTTCAGCTGGCGTCACCAAATAGGCTACTAATGACAGAAACTAGCAGAGACTTCCCAGTTTGAAAAGCATTGAAGAAGATTGAAATCTGGATACTCTCGAAGCAAAAAAAAAAAAAAATATATCATCAAGAGAGTTATGCAAGAACTTTATTCTTATCGTTCATCCAATGATCATGGGAATGACAGCAAGATTAGAGATTAGATAAGACATCGACCATGTTAAACAGTCACTGAATCTAAATGCTTAAGTTAATAAGTTAGGTATATTTAAAACTTTTATACATTCGTAACATTGTCACAAAACTCCACATTTGAACTATAAAACACGAGACTTTCTACTTTAATCTCGTAGTCATTAGTCATTCTTCTCTCTAAAATGGGAAAGAACAAAATAGCACAAATCAAGGATACATTTGAGAAAAGTGATCCAAGCTATTGCAGGGGGTAACAATTTCTCCCTTTTTGTGGACATTGGGTTTCCATTATTACCATGAAAACAAGGGGAAAAGATGCCAGAAAGAAGACTAGAATGTTGTGTAGGAATGGAAAAGGCAAATGTCTCCGCCATTAAAATACACCATAAATTAAGACACAGGACCATACAGATACACTACATGACATAGAAAGTTCTGGAATGGAAAGATATAGGGGCAAGCTTTTCAAACAGGAAACGAAAAGCCATAAATAACTAATTAACTGATAGAACAGAAGATAAGATAATTCAGGAGTGAAGAGACCTGAAGATGCTTTCAGAATTCGTCTTCTTCCCACTGTGTAAGCCATTGAGAAAGTGACCCAAATTCTGCTCCCTGCAAACAAGCTTCCGAATTAGCAGCAATGGCGTGGCAGCTTGAACTCTGACTTTATTAGTTGACGATGGAGAAGTCCTGCAAAAAACTCCCAGTTTAATCAAAGATGTTCATCCCTAAATTTGGAAATGAATGAACTCGGTAGTGATGTAGCGTCATACAGCTTAGAGAGAGAGAGATTTGAGGTGTTGAGCTGATTCAATGGCGGGAGTTGGAGGAAGCAGAGGATGGCTTTTCGGAAATACCATCATGTTCCTCTTCACCCGGGATTCGCGCCGGAATGAGAAACCTGGAGAATCCGCCGGAGGCGAATCCGAGACCCGGAAACGAAGATTGGTAGATCGCCGGTGGAATTATATGTTGCTGATTATCAGGGAAGGCGACTGACGGGTCTATCCAAGCGCGAATCGAGGGCGTGTAACTGGACTGAAGGGGTCCCCTCTGAGAAAACAACTGGTTTTCTCCGAACAGCGGTTGCAGAATCGGTGACC